TAAAACAATACAAAACAGGAGCAGAGCAAACAGGGACCTGTAAAACATCAGAGGTGGGATAAGGTGACATGGAGGAGTGAGCATCCCCTGACGACCAGTCACACCCGCCGTGTGCTCCTTGTCATTTTTGGGAAACAACGGAAAAATCCGTCGTCAATTCAGTATATAAATAATGGACTAACAAATAGTATAAAAAACCTCAGTCATCATTTGACGTAATGATAAATTGTACGTATGTATTTGCTGACAAGGTCATTGTATCGACCATAGAACTCACAAAATGACGTTAAACGAGACTGCCGATACTCTTGTTTTATCAACTTGTTTGTCAGTAATATACCTCGTTTTACGATTAAAAAAAACTATCAGGGATTGTTTAGAAAGGAGACATAACCAATGATCAGGTCTGAGTAGGATTGTCACCTGAGGAGGCTTGCGCTTGTATAGTATGATGCAGACATGTTGACAAGCTCAGCCATATTACACATACATGTACATATGTTCATTTCGATATCATTTGCTTACACATACATGTATATACATCTAGATGTTTTTTACAGAAAAATGAAAATTTAGTTAGTGGAAAAAAATATGTCTTTAAAAAAATCTATTCGTATGTACTAAATTAAAGATTGTTTGTTGGAACATATACGTACATGTGATCATGAATATAAACGAAAATTGACTGCCTTTCTTTCACCTTAAGTATAACTTATGGATATGAAATCAAATGGCTATTAGTTTCCTACTATTGAAACAGGAAGGTGACACTAAATAAGTGTTGACTGGCCATACTTTTTTCATGGTCGTGTGCGTGTCTGTCCCACGTGGTCTTTCAATTTTTTTTTTAAAGTTTGCAGTTATTGAGCTTATTGTTTGGTACGTGTATCCTTATTTATTACATATCAAGTTTGCATTTTGTTTCGCTTCACTAATTCAAATGGTACCCCATGTCAAGGATAAAAACCCTTTGGTGCATAAAATGTCGTTTCTCGGGGGTCGCAGGAGAAAATATGACCTTACACGTCATATAAGCATTACTTTACCGCAAAATATCGTTGAAAAAAGAAAAATGAAGCTGTGTTGCCCATAAAAGAAAAAATTATGAAAAGGATTAGGAATCAAAATATTAATAATTCTGGCATTAACAAAAAGTATTAACATGCGTAATAAAACTTTAATGACTTACAAGTAACATAAGATATGTAGTCCCTATTATTTGTACTTACGACTTGAGCAAATGCCCTCCTCTACATTCTATAACCTGTAAATCAGAAGACCTCGGCTGCAGGCGGGAACCTTCAGTATAGAAAGTACGTGTCCATCAATGAGCATTAAATTTATACAGAAGTTTTAATTGAAGATAAGTGGTTAAACAGTTGAAATTCTCTCTCGTTTTGTAATCATAATTGACTTTTTCTGTCTGATTATGGTTTATTGCACGGCTACACCAGGTCAGATGTATTCCATTCAGAATATGTTGAAGCCTGTCAGGGTGAATTTAGATAAGAAATTACTTATTTTACACAAAAACACCGAAATGCATTATCTCTTTTTAAAAAGGCTAATTTAAAAAGATACGGTGTTTACTCCAACAATTTCCATTTTCAAAACAAAATTACTGACAAAAATTTATAGAATTTCTGAATTTTACACGATTTGTTTTTTTACTTGTACCTCTTCACAATAGACGACTGTAAATGCGTCTTACAAGCATGCATCAGCATTCTTAAGAGATGAGCAAGAGAAACTTATTGACACCAATAAAATGGGAAGATTTTCAAATAGGAATTTCCTATTTTATATCGAGGTTTTAGGTTAGGAGGCTAAGTTCTAAATTTATGGTCGGAAAATTCTTTAAAATATGTACATGTAATGTACATATATTGTAGCTTAAATTTAACAAAAATTGGTACATCATTCATTCAATTTTACCAAGTAGCGATAAAACACTATGTTCAAATGGTGGTGGTGGGGGAACCTAAAGGATACTTATATAATTTATATCTTAAGGGTTATTTCAATGTTGTCTGTACGCGCGTTAATCATTAAACCACACGATAAAGAGTGTTTAATATCACATCATTCTAATGAGTTCACCGACCGTTTTACATACTTTAGTTTCTATTTCGCTTAAAATGTATTAAGTTTATACTACTAGTCTACATGTACTATGTTTAATACTTCGTTTCCGGGATGTCTGCGCTAAGTAAATGTGTCATGTGACTTTCATCACCACGTGACAAAAATCTAGGCATCATTTGGACAAAATGGCGGCGGAACAGATTCGTTTAAAATCCGTTCCCCACCTACGGGATTTTTTGACAGAAAGAGGTATTCAAACATCGATTTATCGAAAACAACAACTAATTAGATTGGCAGAAGCTGCGACCGAAATGAAAATTGAGCCGGAAGAATGTGCCATTGAAAATAAAAGCTATCACGACCAGCAAAGGAGAACGGTGGAGGTCCGTACCGATGAAAATATTACGACTTTAAATTTACCTGAAATCAGTGGTCTTTCCGATTGGAAGGCCGATTTACAAAATTTGCCAAAAATCGAAGGGTGTTGCTAAAACGCGGAACGGAAACCGGAACGGAAAGCGGAACGGAACGGAAAACGGAATATATTATTTTGGATTAACTCACTTTAAATACACAAAATTTATCATAAATGATATATTTTGTACATATTCAATCTCCCACTATTAAAAACAAGTTGATTTTGTTATGCTTAGTCTGTTTTTTTTTTTTTTTTTTTACGAAAATCGCTAACATATAGCAGTCACCTAGAATCGAATTTAAAAAGGGGGGGGGGGATAAACGAACTTGAAAAGTATTTGACAAGCAAAACACAAAAAGAACAATTGTTTGATTCGGGAGGGGGGATAAGTTCCAATTCCAACATCTTTCAGTACTATTTTTTTACACTAATTTACTACATTAATTACATTCACAAAAACTAGGATGATGTCAACTTGAACGAACGTTTCCGTAGTAAAAATGTTATGACTGGGGGATCAAATATTTGATATCTAAATGAACCATGAAAGAGAATTAAAATGTAAAAAAAAAAAATTGTTACGTTTAGGGCAAACCTTTACAGCAAGTAAGCTCGAATAAACATCTCTTAAAAATTTAATTCAAAGTAGAGACATTTTCTATATATTTAAATTCTGGAAAGACATAGTTGGAAAACTTTCTTGTGGTAGATATTATGCAGAATCTTTGCATTCAATGAAGTTAAATTTTGTTTGCGGTACATATGTGTATATGTTTGGGGGGGGGTGTGTGTATATGAATGACCCCGTACAAAATGAGTTTGTTTTCCCTCTCATTGGAAAGGTATGAGAAGTTGTAATAGGAATGCCCCCCTTTTTGTGTCAAAAACAGACCCGTTTACCCATAACGCTGTCTCTCAGTATTTGTTATTAGATTTGTCCGTGAGATTCGGCATTTGCCAGTGAGATTTCACTTTCCATCAATTTTACATATATTAAATGAGAAAAACTGCTTTTCTGATTACATAAAACATGATTTAACAACAAGGTATTTGTCATTCCATAATACCACAGCGTTTTGGCAACCTGACATCGATTATGTGTTTGAAATCTCTCTCTTATTTAGCGACAAAAAGGGTGAAACTAAGACAGATCATAACGAAAACTAACTGTTAAATTTCAAACTAACGTATTTCCGATTTCCGTATTTTCAAAATGGCAAAACGTGAAACGTATTTTAAACTAAAAATCCGTACAAATTACGGCGAAATCGTAAGAGTAAACAGGTCTGCAAAAATATACACAAGGTTTAATAAATCAATTTTTAATGTGACTGTGGGCCCCTACACAGACCCGAAACTGCCACTCCCTCTTTCACGATTCGCGAATTCGACAGTGCGTGCATAATCTGAATATCATAGATAGTTATTTTTGTCTTTACAGACATTGACATTGGAAACAAATTGAAAAAAAGGGGGGGGTCAGTAAAATTTTTTTACAACATACAACAAATTTGACAAGCCAAAAAATGGGGGATATGTCCTTTGTCCAAACACGAAAATCCTATTTCGTGTGGGGGGGGGGGGGGGGTCGAATTTCTTTCAGTACCATTTTTTCCACGGAAGTTGTGTATGACTCATGAATATATAATAATTCACAATTAATTTTTATCAGAAATAATTTTTACAACAAGAATATTGCTCTTTTATCTGATTTATATCGAATCTATATGATTTCATCGTCTCAAGCCACGGTCCGGAGTCCGCATATCGCTTTCTCCTGGGAGAGGATCGTACATTTTGGCCGTGGTTTGCGACGATGATATTTATATAACAGTGTTGTGTTTTGCGTGCACTATGCCTAAATAGTAGTCAGGGTTTGACACAATGACATGGTGCACGAGCCGGAGGCGAGTGCACTATGTGTCAAACCCTGACTACTATTTAGGCATAGTGCACGCAAAACACAACACTATTGTTATTATTATGCTGACTGTTGTTACTGTATAAAAACGGCAATATTTTCTACATTCCCAATGTTTCATCACCTGTAACATTCGTCTACTCTATTATGACGTCACCTTATGCAACATGTACGTCATAATCTTTTTCTTTAATTTTGAACGTTCCATGCTTTAGGTATAATCTACAGAGAGTTTTAGAGAATATTATTTGAGTGAAGGAAGGGGGGTTGCAAGAAACTATTTTAGAAGAATTATTTTGTTTATTTTTAATTTTAATTATAAAATATTTGAAACTAATTTATATATATTATAGTACCATATGTTTGATAACGGCGTCTGTGGCGTAATCGGTAGCGCGTCGGACTGACAATCTCGGGGTCGTGAGTTCGCTCCCCGGTATGGGCGTTTTCGGATTTTCCTCAGAAATGGAAGCCGTGCACTATTTCGGTGCACGGTTTCACAAAAATTTTCCGCTTTCCGTTCCGTTTTCCGTTCCGCGTTTTAGCAACACCCAAAATCGAATGGGTGATATAATTGTGTATTTAATGACTTATTGTGACTGGAGTGCAAACAGACTGAAGTCCTACAAGGATGATAACTCATTCAAACTGTATCAAACCAACCACATAGATAAAGTTGTGATGGCCTCTGTTGCACATGGATACATATATGTTAAGAGTACCTGTGTGCCAGAGACAAGGCAATCAGAAAAACCTTATCAAACATGGATTCTCTTGCATAAAAATGGTTCTGTGAAATCCGGTGGCTGTACTTGTGTGGCGTAAGTATATATGTACACATACCAGGGTACTATCATAATTTGTTTTATACCGTGGTGACTGGTGAATTTTTCAATAATTTTGATGGAGATGCATCTTATTCATAAAGCAGAGGTAACGATTATTTGAATAAATATTAAGGGTTCCATATGAACAACATATCATAAACATACCTGTCCTCAGGATTGTCCCCAAGACCCAGAGGCAGGGAATTTCCTTGCCTATATTATATGATGTACCGGTAATCATGTAATCCGTAGTTATATTATTTTGGTATTCCTCCTAAACTAATAAGGGAGAGGGACCCAAGATCCTCTTGTATGTATTTATGTACTCATAAATTATGATAAATATAAATCATAATGCTTATATGTACATGTCATTAAAAAACATAACTACATGTACCACTGTGCTCTGCGTTTTGATGTTAAATACATACACGAACATCTAGCTGGCCCTGCAAAGAGGAAACACCCATTTATTTAATGATTATATTAAGTAGACCTAGAATCTTGTTTACCTGGTAGGCTAATTGCCACAATCTTGAACACACTTCTAATGTTAGTATGATATATGGATTTAATCCAAGTTGAAGAATTTAGGACTATAAGTATTAAACATAATTATGATATTTAAATAAATATTTTCAAGGGATAGTATTTTTTTTAAACATATAGTTTTTTAAATCAACATGAGTCATGAACAATGCTGAAGTAAGCATGACGTATACAGTGTGCTAATGCTGTCATGTGACATCGTCAATTTTAATATATTTAAATCTTATCAAATTTCAAAGTGAATAAAATGCACGCTTTTATTTTTTTTCCCAGAGATGACGGAAGTTGCAAGCACTGTGTAGCACTATTGTTTGCTTTGCATGACTTTAGTGAAAGGCACCAAGACAGAGGAACTGAGGTATGCACAGACAATCCATACAAATGGGATCGACTGAGGCAGGCATCTTATCCTGTTACAACACAAAATATTAATTTTGGTAAGAAAGACATCCGTGATAGTTATCAGCCTTTTTCTGATAACGCTATTGATGTGCATCTAAAGCTATGGAACGCCATGGCTGCCTTATGTTAGATGATTATATTATATGCTGTGCTTCTTATATTATACATGTATGCTGTGGATTTGTAATTATATGCTGTGGTTCTTTTATTATATGCTGTGGGTTTATAATTATATGCTGTGGATCTATTATTATATGCTGTGGGTCTATTATTATATGCTGTGGGTCTATAATTATATGCTGTGGTTTTATAATTATATGCTGTGGGTTTATAATTATATGCTGTGGGTCTATAATTATATGCTGTGGATCTATTATTATATGCTGTGGTTTCATTATTATATGCAGTGGTTTCATTATTATATGCTGTGGGTTCATAATTATGTGGGTTCATAATTATATGCTGTGGGTTCATAATTATATGCTGTGGTTCTTTTATTATATGCTGTGGTTTCATTATTATATGCTGTGGGTTCATAATTATATGCTGTGGGTGTATTGTTTCATATTCTGTCGGTTTATTGGAAACTAGCTATTCGAATCTGGACTTCTGTTTTTTTAGTTTACTTGCTCAAAAAATGGCGGCAACTGTACCAGGCCTAACCGTAATAGGAATGAGAGAGTGGAGTGCTGAATCAATCGGCAATCCTCGGCTGACTCCACTACGCTCCATTCAAAATTCGGATGTGATTAGTGGAGGAATACGCATCAGATCCTAACATTTCTCAGGCACGTAGCAACAGGGGGGGGGGGGGGGGCGGGGGCATGCCCCCCCCCCACTTTTTACCCAAACATTACCTTTGCTATAGAAAATGTCCATTGAAAAGATGGTTGCCCCCCCCCCCCCCACTTTTTACAACAGTATATAGCTAGCAAGGAAATAAAGAAAAAAAATTGGAAGTTAAAGGAAGATCACATGACTTAATCAGCAAGATGGTAGATCACCGTTGACGTCCGAGGGTATGTGCGAGGTACGATATTCTAAGTTCTTTGACTGGTTCAAACTTGATCACATGTTGAAGTATATAAAAGCATATAGACTAGTGTTACTATTCATTGATTCTGAAAAGCTCAATGGCTTAATGTTTTCTAAAAACAACTTTTCTTTCAAAAAGTGATGACTTCTCAATACTAATAACTAATATACTAGCAACATATTGTTTCTGTGAACAAAATCATTCAACTTCTTTTTATAATTATGATGTTCTGTTATAATTGGATGTAAAAATGCCTTTATAAAATTCTTCTTAATATTAAGATACAAATATAGCTTTTCGATGAGGTCAATCCTTAGATGTACAGACCTTATCATATGATCTAGCCTGAGTCAATCAGATACTAGTAGCTTGCATCAAAAGAGAAAAATAATAATTTCGAATATGGTTTTATTTCTTTAATGAATAATATAACAAATGATGTCCATTCATGAGGTCAATCTCGCACTTCTTGCTTGGTGGATAATTATGTATTTCTTTGAATTCGATATTTGTATGGATCGACCTCATGAAAGGGTTATATTTATATAATATATAATATGTAAATTTCTGATTTCAAGCACTAAATGCAACAACTTGTAAAGACATGGATTTCCTGATTTTAAATATGTACTACAGTGTATACATAATTTACACAATCACGTACCCTGAATTTATTGACGAAAGGCAACTGGGTATATCCGTCAGTTAAGTTAAAGGCCTGGCTCCCAGAATGCCCTGTTAATGGTATGTCATGTTCGAATACGCTTAAGTCTGTCTGATACGAAACTACGAGAGAAGCATTCGCCGTTAATAAATATCTGTACTTCAGACAACGAGCTTGGGTCGGGTCGGCAGATATTCCAGGTGAATACATCAGGCTAAAAGTAAAATGATCTGCATAGATTTGGCCTTTATCGAAGTTGTCCGCGAAAATCATCATTTTGCCATACACGTCCACGTCTTAAAAATAAAAAAAGTGCATTTTTAATTTCATTTCTTAAATTTGTTTGAAATGATTTAATTTTGTATGTATTCTACATGTAGCCTCTGATTGATTGATATCCAAAATGGAAGACAAATTATTGCTATATAGCCTGGTGTGGCATGGGAACACACAACCCTAACAACCAGCGGATTCATCTGTATCCATGCAATCCTCTCAGTTCCAGTCCATGGGATTCATGGAAAATTCCAGATTTAATAAATGTATCTTTAACTTCAAACAGTAGCTCGATCTTACCAAAATCTTAAAACAAATCTTAAACAAAAAACATGGCTGCTATATCTATGTATTTTTACTTCACTTTGTCTCCAGTCACTCCCGTTACTACAATTGTATTATTGACCGGCATAGCTGCAGCTCTCTGCTTGAGAAAATTCGGACAGATAAAGCAGAGAGCTACAGATTTAAGCGTTGTAAAACCCTTCGATTTACGCCAACGATTTTTTGTCGCTGCCTGAGGTATTTATTTCGTGTAGTTTAGGCATTCTGTGGCTTTTAGAATAGTATCCTATATTTAATCATATATCTAACTCTTTTTTTTTTTTTTGATACTTTATTTACTTTTTAACGGTCCGAAACAGTCTTTGAATAGTTTTATAATGTCGGTTTAAAAAAGTTTCATTTCGACGTCCGTAACCACAAACAGCCATTTGATAGCGTTGAATGGTAAGTAAATCATCAGGAAATGAAGAATGAAGTATTATACACCATGTTTAAAGCTGAGGAAAATATTCAATACAAGGAAAAAAAACTCGAAGTGAGCAACACAAAATCGTCGGCGAAAATCGAAGTTTACAACGCTTGGATCTGTAGCTCTCTGCTTTAACTGTCTGAATTTTCTCAAGCAGAGAGCTACATTTCTGCAGCTATGACCGGCAAAGCAAAAAAAAAAAAAAAGCAACAAAATTCTACACCCACAGATGTTTATGATTTTTAAACTTAATCATAAGAATTACTCTTATTCTTGGCCATATTATTCGAGTGTAACCTGGTTTGGGTCAGTTTACGCTTTTATAGAATAAGTTTACGTGGCTTCGCGGATTATAAAGCGTAAACTGACTCTAACCAGGTTATATCAGAATAATCTGGCCAAGAATTGGAGTCATTCCTAAATAATATATTACATAAATTGGCTCATTTCTAGAGTTTTTTACTTTTGTATGCATACCTTTTCTCGTTATCCCTTTTCATGTCCTTAGTCTATCTCACCTCGTTATTCTATCTCATTTGTCGCCCGCGTGGCGCAGTGGTTAGAGCGTCTGCTCTAGAGTCGCGAAATAAGGAATCAATCCTTACGTCGCGGGTTCGAATCCCACTGCGGGACGTGGATACCGGTCTTTCGGATGAGACCGTATAAACCGAGGCCCCGTGTCGCAGTAGGTGTTGGCACGAAAAAGATCCCTCACTGCTCAAAGGCCCTGAGTGCCGAGCATAGGACAAAAATTTGTAGCCCTCCACCGGCAAGTGGTGGCGTCTCTATATGAGTGAAAAATTCTCGAGAGGGACGTTAAACAACATACAATCAATCAATCTATATCATTTCGTTATTCTATCTAATCTTATCCTATATCATTTCGTTATTATACGTTATCGCGTTATGTTTCCTCGTTATCCTTTCTTATGTCGCTACTTTATCTCTTTATCCTATTTTCTGTTTTTATACGCCTCAATTATCTCGTTATCTTTTTACATCTCCTTATCTTATCTTATGTTTTAGGTCGATACAATCACTTGTCAATAAATACAATTTATGTTTGAGCCAAATGCTGACTAACGTTTATCATACTAATTGACGACAGATTTATCCGTTATTTCCGGGTCATGACAAGAAGCACACGGCGGATGTGACCAGTCGTCAGGGGATGCTCACACCTCCATGGCACCTGATCACACCTCTGTTGTTTTGGAGGTCCGTGTTTGCTCTGCTCCTATTCGTATTGGTTGATGGACTTTGATATATTGAATACTGTTCGTAATCTCCATATCCTTCACTTATCATATCTTATCTTGCTCTGTTATCTTGTTACCCGCTTTCATCTCCTTAGGTTGTGTCCTTACCTGGTGGAATATTATAAAATGTGTAGTTTGTGATATTTTCCATCCTCCATGAATTCGCCCAGTTGCTAGAATCATAGTTGCCACAATCTCTGATGTTTCCATTCCTACCACAGACCGACATTGATGTTGGGACATAGTTTTCATCGTTGAAACCATAATCAGTCCACTTACACATACTTTGGTTAAATTCACAGTTCACTGAAAACGGGAACAAAAAATCTCAAATAATAATCTTATTAAGGTCAAGATCTTATAAATGAATGATGCCTACAGATTTATCAAATTTGAGAAATTAATTCCTTTAATGATGCGTTGCAACTAAAGGTAGGATTCTTTTTCTGGTATTTGAAAATTAATGAAATTTTCACAGAAGGAAGACAATGTCACTAAGTGATGGTATCAGTGAGATTAAATTTGACCGTTTTATATTAGAGGCAAGGTCAGGTCAAGGTCATTACTTTTTCTCTGGATATATCGAATAAAAAATACTGTTGTCAACCATGCCATCCCTACTTTCATTTCAAAAGATTGAATATAGGACCCATAACATGATATTACCAAACTGACATAGATAATTTAGATAACATCGATATTGGCTAGTCCGAATTTCCTCTATTTTTCTTAAATTTTCAGGATATATTAGTTATTTTTATATGCATCTTATATTTAATTTTTTCTTATTTTCACATATGGTAAAGCTGTCACAGAAAGATACAAAGTGATACAAAACACAAAAAAAATTGATTGTTTACTTAGAGAGAAAAAATACTTTTTACGGATTTTTGGCTCAAATATGTACTTAGATTGGAAGCTTTCAAAAGCTAACGTAGTTCTAGTTTGTTTTAAAAATTTTATTTATTTGATATATTTTGAAACTTTAGACCCCTCCTATTAATTTAATTTACATTTGAATTTTTTCAAGTCTTTGATTATGTAAAATTTATAACTAAATTAATTTAAGAATTTTGAGGCAGAAAAGATATTTTCATACACCACCATTTCGCCAAAAATATAGTCCCTGCTAGTTTTCAAA